TTTTCTTGGCATTTTTGGTCTTATTTTGCTAATGTTCTTCCATTCAATTCTGGAAGACAAATCTGTATGATGAAACAAACAAAAAAAAACAAAAAAAAACGAGAGAACGCGTTAAAACACCAGAGGGAAGTTAAGTCAGCCACCGTGCTATTTTTTGCCTGTTGTCACGCCTGTTTGGCAAGCAAGAGTAGCGTAGCGGTGAGAGCAGCGATCGCCTCAACAATACGCCCCGGGTTCGAGTCTCGCTGTGCTCGGTGTCGTATTTGATTAATGTTACTTGTTGGTTCTCTCTGTGCTTCGATGGCTTTCCAATTGTCATCTGTGGAATCCACTGTTGATAAATCCCATTATTTATTTATTTTATTTTATTCAAAATACCGCCTTTGATTATTTTTAGGCCAATCAGCACCAATATTCAAGCTGACTGATAAAAAAGTGTTGGAAGAAACTACTATCATCTTGCCATGTGAACCTGCAGGTTTCCCCAAGCCAAATATCACGTGGTTATTCAATGATGATCCAATCCCATGGGAACATTCAATAGATAACGATTATTTGATCCTAAACAATGTTAGACATGGAAGACATGATGGTCGATATACTTGTGTAGCTACCAGCAAGGCCGGTACAGTGTTCACTTCTGCATCACTTATCGTTCATGGTAAGAGAATATTTTTTATTGATATTATGTTTAACATTTATTTAAATCGATCGCTTGTGTCAATTCAGTCATTTCATTGTAAGTCTGAAAAAACTTATCTATTTATAGAAAAAATAAGGTGCAGACTTATCGTGTCTTAGTCATCATCAGCATTTATTGTTTTTGGTTATAGTTAAACCAGTGATCACCATCAAACCTACTGATCAAAGAAAGCGAGAAGGATCTGATGTCATCTTTCGAATCAAAACTACAGGGTTCCCATCACCAGCTATCAAGTGGCTATTCAACAATGGACCCATCCCATGGAATCATTCTATTGATAGCTTTGGTTGGGTCTTTAATCATAAAGGATGTTAGACGTGGAAAGCATGATGGCCGATATACTTTTGTGGCTACCAATGATGTTGGGTCTATTTCTACTTCTGCAACACTTTTTGTTTATGGTAAGAATGTAAGATTCGTAGTGATAATATGCTATTAAATTTATAACCCAAATTAGATGAAGATTACTTGTAATTCTGGTAACCCTATCTAAGTCWTTATGCCATCATCATTCTCGTCCTCATCACCACCGCCATGACGAGCATCATYGTCAYCACCACMACCACCWCCACCATTACCACCGCAAACATCATCATCATTGTCAACATCACCACCATCATCGTCATCGTCATCATCATTAGATTTTACTTATATATCACAGAAACCTTAAGGCTTCCTGGGGCTCAAAATAACAAAACAATTTGCATCAGCAAGTATTTCTATCCTGTTTTGAGCCTCAGATTGTACAAGGGGTCTATAGCTTATTCCATAAAATGAAAGGATTATTAGAGGATTTCTTTGTTTATTTCAGTGAAAGTAACTGCACACGTACCAAGTAGAAAGTACGTATTTTCTCTAACAACCAAAAGAGCGAACCTTATTTGTTATGGTCGTGGATTTCCTCTACCAAATATTACATGGACCAAGGATGGGCTCCCTGTGTCACTGAATCAAACAGACAGGCTTATCAACGAAACTTTTATTGAAAGTAGACTAAACCTGGGACACMTGACAATTGACAAGGCAGGACGATACTTTTGTCACGTGGGTAATGATGTGCATCGTCAGGAACCGATACGCATTGCTATAGACGTCTTTCGTAAGTGACGTTATTATGTATCATATACAACAACAAAAATATGATACTACACTACACTACACTACACTACACTACACTACACTACACTACACTACACTACACTACACTACACTACACTACACTACACACTACACTACACACTACACTACACTTCTTTAGTCAACACCACATTAATCAAACAAGACTACATTGTACTGTACTGCACTGTACTGTACTACGCTACACGATTTTATCTTTTCTTTTTGTTTTTCTTTATTTTCCATTTCATCGTATTGTTAGGAGGCTGTCCCAGTGCCTGGAAAACATATCGAGGTTCAAATTCCTGTTATCGTATTGTCAACACCCGTACGGCAAAATGGGACGTCGCGCGTCGATCTTGCATATCGATGGGTGGTTACTTGGTGAAGATCGATTCAGAGGAAGAGAACCGCTATGTGACTAAATTGGCAAGTGAAGCAAGTTCAGCGGAAATTATGTGGATCGGACTGTCTAGAAGTAAGTATTTTACATTGTTCCATCTAAAACTTGTTTCCTACTGCTACTGAAATTCCAGGAAAGGAAAGACGCAATATCTGAAAAAAATTCATGTATTGTAGGTATAATTCCAAAAATTCGTAAATATTATCTGGAGTAGTAGGGTTATCCAGCAGAGCCGTGAGGGCGGCGCGCCATGAATGGACAAAATGATCGGCCTGAACAGTTTTGGAAATCGAAAGTGGAACTAAACAAACATTGCGTTTTCTTCAATTTTTCCTTTCCTTATTTCTGCTTCTTGTAGGCACGYATATTATAGTTTAGTCAAAAGAAAACAAAAACCAAATACGCAAAGTCGGGTKTCAGTAGTAGCCTGGGAATGAAAGCCGGCGGCAAAACAGCCAAACGCRCTGTGATTGGCTGAAACACAATTCAACGCTCAACTGGATAAAGTTTTAAAGAACAGCAAAAATTAACAAAGAATATAAGATTTAGTGTTTCTAGTAGGTACATGGGTGGGTATAGGTACATTTGTAATCAGGACGATGATTAGGTACAAAGGTACGTTAGGATGTACGAATGTGAAGTGTATAGGCAGTTAATAGGAAATTAGGGAACTGCGCCCAAAGAAATTTCTCCTAAGGTGTTTCTTTGAATATAAAAACATCTGTACATTTTTTTTTTTTCGTAATTGTCGACTTTCACATCCCCATAATGCCTTGCGTTTTTGGGAGGTAACCAATCAAAAAACTGTCCCAAATTGAAA